TGATCTAGTAATTGAGTGCCAGTCATAGAAACCGAACTTGTCGAGAATAAAGCCTAGGTTTCTAAGTGCCGAAAATTCTAGTCTAGAAAAATTGTAAAAGTCTCAGATGAGTGTTCTGAATTTTCGTCCCCTGCTTATGTCCTCTGCCTCTTGCTTATATACTCCCTTCCTAGGCGGTTGTCCTTCCATTTCACTCAGATTCGAGTTTATCGAGAATCTTCCATTTATCTTTATCTTTCTTTTTTCCCGCGAAATCTTCTATTTATCCTCAAACATGACATTTATCCTCAAATTTGACATTTATCTTCTTTCTGCGAGTAAATCGTTAAGACATTGTCGTATCTTTGGGCTAGACTTCGTTAAAGTCGCGAGATAGGCTTTTATCGCGTTTTAGGACTTTTCGAGCCCTTTTGCAATAAAACCGTTTTACGACTTTATACAAGATTGTTTCCTGATGCGATGCCGTTTTAATAAGTTTCTCGAGTTGATCGCAAATTTTGGCAACGTTCGATGTTTCGTTTAATCGTTGCCGTTTTCTACGATTTACTCGAGGTTTTATTAAAAACGCGTTTTTTTATGATTTTTCACGAAAAATCTCGAGTAAATCGTATAGTTAGGCAATGTTCGCTGTTTCGTTTAACTGTTCCGTTTATACGATTTCCTTGAGTTCTTTCGAGAAAATAAGACTTTACGGTTTTTATCGTAAAACTTGAACGATAGGATGGATCAAGACGAACCGAGAGACGTTTCAACCGTGGTTCACAACACTGTGGGAACCGAAATTCACACCTGTCGATTTCCGTAAAATAAGGAAAGTTAGGAAAACCCTAATTTTCCAGAGGAACCGGATCTCTGCGAAAGCCAACGACAAGTAACCAAGAACGCGATTAATATGAATAAATTGAAAGATATAAAAATAAAAACGAGATTGAAGGCAAGAAGGATTCTTATTCCGAATTCGCGTAAGAACGGTTACAACGAGAGTTGCCTTAGCTGCGTGAGCCGTCGGCGAAATTCCTAATTCTAGCAATCTAACACTAAAACCCTAGTTGAGACGCAGCTCGATAACGAAAACGTAAAATTTCCTAAATGCTAAGTTTGGTGGTGAAAGTTCTGAAAACTCGTGTCCCAGCTTCTGCCCTATGCCTCCTCCTTATATACTCCTCCTTAGGCGGTTTTAGTCTTTCCATTTTGCTCGAAACAAAATATTTCGGGAACTTTCCATATTTGTCGATCCTTCCTTTTCTTCTGCGGAAATCTTCTAATTATCTTCAAACTTGCCTTTTATCTTCCGTCTGCGAGTAGACCGTCAAAACGTTATCGTAACTTCGGATTTGATTTCGTTAACGTCGCAAGATGGGTTTTTATCGTGTTTTAGGACCTTTCGGGCCGTTTTACGATAAAAACCGTTTTACGACTTTAACGAGACCGTTTCCTGATCCAATGACGTTTTTACGATTCTTTCGACGTTTTTTATTAAAAACGCGTTTTTATAATCTTAACGACGAATCTCGGATAAATCGTATAGTTTAGCCGATGTTCGGTGTTTTGATTAACCGTTACCGTTTTATACGATTTCTTCGAGTTCTTTCGGGAAAACGGAGTTTTACGATTTTTTATCGTAAAACTCGAACGATAGGACGGATCGAGACGAAACAGGAGACATTTCGACCGTGATTCGGAATACGATCGTGTCGAAGGACGTATGCCTTGAATCAAGGATGTGGGAGATCAAGGCTCGGGATGGTCAGCTCGACGTACGGCGAGCTAGTTCAGCTTGGCTAGGTCGCCATATGGCGAACTAGGCGAAAAGAACCAGTGGGGCAAAGTCAGCACCTCTTAGTTCGCCCAATGGCGATCTAGCCGGGACGGGACTAATTCGCCCACCGGCGAACTAAGCCAGCTTGGCTTAGTTCGCCGGTGGGCGAGCTAGTCGTGACTAGTTCACGTTTTACGGCGGTTTCGGTTTTTCGCGGTTTTGTAAAACGATCTTCGAGTTTTATAAAACGGCTTCTCGAGTTTTATAAAACGATCTTCGAGTTTTATAAAACGGCTTCTCGAGTTTTATAAAACGTTTTATAAAACGATCTTCGAGTTTTATAAAACGGCTTCTCGAGTTTTATAAAAAGATCTTCGAGTTTTATAAAACGATCTTCGAGTTTTATAAAACGGCTTCTCGAGTTTTATAAAATGATCTTCGAGTTTTATAAAACGATCTTCGAGTTTTATAATACGGCTTTTCGAGTTTTATAAAACGATCTTCGAGTTTTATAAAACGGCTTCTCGAGTTTTATAAAACGATCTTCGAGTTTTATAAAACGGCTTCTCGAGTTTTATAAAACGGCTTCTCGAGTTTTATAAAATGATCTTCGAGTTTTATAAAACGATCTTCGAGTTTTATAAAACGGCTTCTCGAGTTTTATAAAACGATCTTCGAGTTTTATAAAACGGCTTCTCGAGTTTTATAAAACGATCTTCGAGTTTTATAAAACGGCTTCTCGAGTTTTATAAAACGATCTTCGAGTTTTATAAAACGGCTTCTCGAGTTTTATAAAACGGCTTCTCGAGTTTTATAAAACGGCTTCTCGAATTTTATAAAACGATCCTCGAGTTTTATAAAACGATCTTCGAGTTTTATAAAACGGCTTCTCGAGTTTTATAAAATGATCCTCGAGTTTTATAAAACGATTCTCGAGTTTTAGAAAACAATTCTTCGAGTTTTATAAAACGATTCTCGAGTTTTATAAAACGATTCTTTGAGTTTTATAAAACGATTCTCGAGTTTTATAAAACAATCCTCGAGTTTTATAAAACAATTCTCGAGTTTTATAAAACGATCCTCGGGTTTTATAAAACGATTCTCGAGTTTTATAAAACGGTCGTCGAGTTTTATAAAACGATCCTCGAGTTTTATAAAACGATTCTTCGGGTTTTACAAAACGATTCCTTTTATATTTCTGCGGGGAGTTTCGGCCGTTGATTCATCGTACCGATTTTGACCCCAACAAACACGATCGAGCCGAAGGACGTATGCCTTGAGTTGAGGACGCGGTAGATCGAGGCTCGGGATGGTCAGCTCGACGTACGGGGAGCTAGTTTGGTAGAACTAGGGTGCCGTACGGAGAGCTAGCTTGATGCCACCTAGCTTTCCGTACGGCGAGCTGAACCGGTTGGTTCGGCTCGTCGGACGTTGAACTCGGTTCGGTCAAACCTACTCGCTGTTTTACGGTGGATGCGGTTTTTGCAATTTTACGCTTAACTCGGACAATTGTGTAATCGTCGTTTGTTTCGTTCGTTCTTCCGAGATGACGATTTCCAAGTTTTCCACGGATTTTCTTTTTTTGGAAATTTCCTAGAATTTTATAAAATGGCTTCTCGAGTTTTATAAATCGTATTTTTATTTTGACGGAAACTTTTAGCCATTGATTCCGTCGTGACCAATTTTGACACCAACAATTGTTCTCAATTGGTGAAGATGGTGTCGGAACCAGAAGAATGGCCAGCCTTTGCAAATTATCTGGAAGATATCAAGACGCTGTAGGAGAGTTTCAACAGCTCAAATATCATCTATGTACCAAGAACACGGAATGCCCGAGCGGACAGTCTAGCACGTAGTGCCAGAAAACAATCGTCTTTCGTTGTTCACATGGATACTGAGCTACCAATTTGGTTCGCAGAGTCAGTATGAGTCTGTTTTTTATGATGTCAAAAAGAAATAAATAAATAAATAAAAAGACTAGAATATATATTATATGCTAGAAATAATTAAGTGTTTTGGCTAGAACTGAGGCATACGTATTTTATATTATAGATCATATGTTTGAGTTTTCTATACGAATACTAAAATTTATAACACATTGAAGGCAAGTTAGAATATTTATTGTATTCATAGAAAAAGAGTTATAATATACATCCTAATCCAAATCTGTTTTGAAAATTATTTTTATATCAAAACATATAAAATATTCTCATGATTGTAACAAATTTTTCATATTTTTTTAAAATTATGTATCAATTTTTAATAATTATTTTCATCATTATGAAGATATTTATGTCCAAAAATAAAATAACTTATTATTACCAAGGTATAAAAGAACAAAAATATTTTCAATATGGTCTATTTTCCAAAATTTCTCAAAAAATAATACTCTCTGTTTCAATTTAATTGTCGTTGTAGAGTAAAATTTTTGTTTCAAAATAAGTGTCGTTTTATAATTTTAGTGCTAAATTTATTAATTTTATCTAGTATTCTATTTTCTATTGGTTAAAATATGATAAATGTATAATTAACTGTGTTTTTAATAGAAAATTGGAAAAAATAAGTACTTTTTTATTCCGTGTGCAAAACCTAACGACAACTATATTGAATGGAGTAGACTTTATGGAATCATCCAAGACCAAGACCAAACTTGAGTCAGCATCCACATAAGCAATGTAGCTTTACACTGATGCGGAGTCATCATGAAAATGTATTTTTGGTTCAGATCAGTCTTCGTGACCAAGCAAAATCAGACGCCGAGAGGAGGCTCGGCGATGGTTAAATCGAAACACACGTGTGTTAGACTCGAAAACTCCGGCACCACTCTCGTTTCAATATCTCTGTCACCGTCGCACCGACGGCTACTTCTCTAAACGGGTAGCTGCGACGTTCCTTGTTTCCTCGCTTTGATGATTTTGGTTATATTGGATCTCTTGTTTGCTTAAGAAACGGTTTCTTGACTGAAAACATTTTGAACGTTGCCTCTGATTGTGTGTTGGATGTTCTTTTTGTGGGTTTATATGATTGTATTGGTAATGAATATGATTATCTGATTTTGAGTCCTTTGATCTATGTTTCTTTAGAGTTAGCATCTTAATTGATTGGTCTCTTTGACCAAAAAAAAAAATATAGATTGGTCTTTAGGAGAAACGGCAATATACTAAAGTGTTTACCAAAGTTTTAATGATCAATGTCCTATTCACAGGAAGAAGTTGTGAATAAGACAAGATCTTTTGAGACAATGAAAAGCGAAGACGAGAAAATGTTGTTTGGGAATGCTACTTGTGCAAAGGTAATGTCTACTATTATTCTTCATGCTTAAACTAGAATCATTGTGTTAAGGTATAGAGCTAGGTTCGACAACGTTCTTGATCAGATTAACTCCTAAATCGATTACGTTTTACTTCAATCTTGAGAACTTAACTAAGTGATATGCGATCAATCAAACAACAAGCAAACAACACACACAGATTGTTTACCCAGTCTTCGTTTCCTACTGACTGGGGGTATGACTAAACTCTCATACCTTCACTATTATATCGATGTGATACAATAGCTATTCCGATCTAATCCGATCGTTTCTTTTGCAGCTATTACAAGCACATATACAGAGTATCGTTCGGAGAAGAATACCACAGCGATTGCGACGAGGACGACTCACTATCAGTCTCTGAATCCACCGACGACGAGGACCCGCAACCGTGAACCGAAGAAAGAACGGCGATCTCAAGAGCTGTGATCACTATCGGATCTCTCTATCTTGATCGATCAGCTTTCTCCTCCTCCGTGATAAGCTTCTCCTTTGTTTCTCTGTAACTTTCTTTGTACTCTCTCTCTACTGCAACTCTTCCTCTCTCTCTTAATGAAGAAGATGATATAACGGCTTTAACAACCGTAACAACCATAAGACGCTGTCGTTTTCATTTAACAACGCCTTCGGGCTTTTTCTCGATAAAGCCCAATAACCTTGAACGATAACGAGAACCCAAAACCAGCCCAAGTGACTAAAACGACACAGCTCCACACATTGACTTTTGTAGAGTAGTAGTAGTGTTTATGGACAGGTTATTATTTGATCTTAGTTTTGTTCTTGGTGTCGATCAATTACTTTCTGTGTTAAATGCAAAGAAGGCTAAGCTAAGAGCACTAAGGGACAAAGAAGACTCAGGGAGAGAAGTTGAAGAGGTCGAATCAACAGAAAAGGGTGAGAGCTCTGAGAATGGAAGAAGCGATAATGAGCAGACCGTGGAAGATTCCTTTGCCTTGAGATTGTTAGTCATTTAGTCCATTGCAAGTTTTGTCAAGGTCATAGATAGGACACGAATAATATCTTTTGGGCGAAATGCTGCACGAACTTCTCGAGGAAAATTTCCTGCATGTTTTGTGAAGGTCATAGATAGGACACGCAACATCCCCGCCCAAGGCCCAACACATTAAAAAAAATAAAAAAAGAATTGCAAGGCCCTTTCGATCACCAAGACTTGACTTTCCACTGTGAAAGTAAACGCAATGTGCTGACTCTTTTTCAACCACATGATCTTGACGTGTGTACGTATCCTGTCGTCGCTTTTGTATATCTAAATAAAAGGTTTGATTGGTATCCTCCACAAAAAGTCAAAAACAGTTGTTCAGCTTTTTCCTCCTTCAACTAGTTATCTTTGAAAAGTCTCCATAGGAAGACTTGCCAGGTCAAGCTCATTACATAAAATGTTCCTTTATAACAAGAAGTGGGGAAGCTAGGCATCTCCATCACATACCGTTCAAGTCTAAAAATCATCTTTGTTTCCAGATTATAGAGAGACGATGTTTCGAAGCCAATCTTATTGTTTCCGTTGTATAATTACCATCTACTTCTTTTTTTTCCTTCACCTCTTACCAAACACATTTGCGTCTCCTACACGGTCCTTATGCCGTCACGACCAAAGAGATGCTCTTTTGGAGTTAAAAAAGGAGTTCCCGAGCCATACCAAAGATGACGCTCTTGCAACAACACTTTCATGGAACAAAAGCGTCGACTGCTGTTCTTGGTGGGGTGTCACGTGTGATGATATACTAGGACAGGTGATATCACTAAAACTTCAATCTTATACTAGTGTCAACACGTCTCTGAAATCTAGCAGTGGTCTTTTTAAACTCCAGCATCTCCGTCACCTAGACCTTTCAAATTGCAATCTCCATGGAGAGATCCCTTCCTCCATTGGAAATCTTTCTCGCCTTACATATCTTGATCTTTCTTTCAATCAATTCATAGGTGAAATTCCAGTTTCAATCGGTAATCTAAACCAACTAAGGTACTTGAGTCTTTGGAGTAATGATCTCAGAGGTAACATTCCTACTTCGATGGCCAATTTCACGAAACTATCTGATTTGAACCTAAAGGGAAATCAGTTCACTGGCGGGGATATAATACTAGCCAATTTAACCAGCCTTTCCGAGTTAGATCTCTCTTACAACCACTTAAAATCTTCTCTTTCTGTTGACCTAAGTGGACTCCACAACTTGGAGCGGTTCATAGGAGATGAAAACTCATTTTTTGGACCTTTTCCATCCTCTTTGCTCATGATTTCTTCGTTAAGAATGATTTCTTTAGATCAAAACCAATTAGAAGGACCTTTAGTTTTTGGGAATATCTCTTCATCATCTAAGCTTCTATCGCTAGATGTGAGCTACAACAAGTTTTGTGGACTAATCCCAACATCTATATCGAAATTACAGAGTCTTTACGCTGTAGATCTTAGTCATAACAATTTCATAGGACAAGTCCCTAGCTCTATATCTAGTTTAGTCAACCTCAGTTCCCTTGACCTTTCTTATAATAATTTGGAAGGTGAAATACCATCTCTTTTGTGGAGATCCTCTATGTTGTGGTCTTTAGAGCTTTCTCATAATATGTTCAGCAGCTTTGACAAACAAGTTGAAGTTGTTGATGGAGCATCATTAAGAGAGTTACGTCTTGGTTCAAATTCACTCCAAAGACCATTTCCCCAATGGATCTGCAAGCTAAAAGATTTATGGGCCCTAGATCTATCCAACAACCAATTCACCGGTTCCATTCCTCAATGTTTGAAGAACTCCATTTCTCTGTCAGAGTTAAGGCTACGAAACAACAGTTTAAGTGGATTTATACCAGATTCATTCATCAATCTCACTGACCTAAGATCACTTGACGTCAGCCACAACAATTTGGTGGGAAAACTTCCAAGATCTTTGATCCATTGCAAGCTCATGAGGCTTCTGAATGTGGATGGAAATAAAATCAGTGACACCTTTCCGTTTTGGTTGGGATCTTTGGAAATATTAAAGATCCTTGTGCTTCGGTCAAACGCATTCCATGGTCCAGTCTATGACCCTACAACATATTTAGGGTTTCCAAGTCTACGGATCATCAACATAGCCAACAACAATTTCGTTGGATCATTACCACAGAATTACTTTGCAAACTGGACTGAAATGTCAATTGTGTGGAGTAATGAAGATTCACCAGAGTCGAACTACATGGGGGATGATTCTCATATGTATGAAGATTCTATAGATTTGGTGTATAAAGGAGTAGAAACAGATTTCACGCGGATCTTTCAAGCCTTCAAAGCCATTGATTTTTCTGGAAATCGATTTTCCGGACATATCCCTGGATCCATTGGTAATCTAAGCGAGTTGCGCTTTCTAAACTTTTCAGGAAATGCATTCAGAGGCAACATCCCAGCATCTTTGGAAAATATTGCAAAGCTCGAAGCACTAGACTTATCGTGTAATAACTTGTCTGGTGAAATTCCTCAAGGTCTCGGGAACCTCTCGTTTCTGTCATACATCAACGTCTCCCACAATGACCTCGAAGGATTGGTGCCACAGAGCACACAGTTTCAAAGTCAACACTGTTCTTCATTTGTGGGTAACTCCAGACTATATGGACTCGAGAAAATTTGTAATACAATCCATGTCGATGTCCCCGTTCCTGCATCACAGCCACTAGAGGAATCTTTTTCGGATCCAGAGGAGCCAGTACTGAACTGGATAGCAGCGGCAATAGCATATGGACCTGGTGTAATTTGTGGTTTAGTCCTTGGACATATCTTCACTTCATATAAACATGAGTGGTTCATAGCTCGTTAACCCTATCTTCGTCAAGTGTTTGTTCATTGTAATTTTATACATGATACTTGGTAGTAATATTGTTAGTTTTAACAGTTGTAATGTTCACAGTTCTCACTATTTTGTAATGTGGTTCGTCTATGTGTTCTCAGTTGTCTTTAACAAAATCTCTAGAAAAATCATGTGCTCGTAACAGTTTCTCTAAAAACCTTATGTTTTGTGCATATAAATATGATTTAGTAGTATGTGGGAATAGAGAAGACGAAACAACAGAAAATGGCATATTTCGACTCCAACAATTTCAGTTGTGCCAAATACAATCCGAATAAATGATTAGTGCTAAATATGACATTAATTCAATTATAAAATAAAAAACTACATGTATTCTTTAAAATGTGTCTAAATTTATATTAACTATAACAAAAATTAGTAAACCGTTAACAAGATAAAGTATTTTTTTTGAAATGTTAATACAAATTGGAAATTATATATATTACTACAGTTTCATCATCTTCTCCAATTAAAATTTGGTGATGATTATTTCTGATTTATATAAATACATTAACATATTTTTTAATTATCAGATATTTAATAAAATTATATTGTACTAAAATATAAATAACAAAATATTTATAATTATACCAAATTTAATATGCTTAAAACATTGAAACTATTTCTAAAAAAATCTTATATAAATTATTTTAAATTTTAAAAACATGAAGGGTATTTTTTTTCTTTTTCAAAATAAATATATTGAACTATATATTTTATGATTTTATATATTTTAGTTTTTGTTTAAAATGTCTAATATTTTTAAAAAAATGTCGCTGTGAAAGAAAGGTATAATACCTCTTAGCACAACCAACATTTTAAACAAAATATTACAAATATATTATATTAATTTTGAGTCTGGGGTCTTTACCATTTGATCAAGACGACTTGGTTAAAAGAAAATTAAAGAAAATCAAACGACGATGTTATGACAAAGTACAAAAATATTAGCAAAAAATCATTAAGATATTCATCAATTTTATGGATTAGTTTGTCCAAAGTAAATGAGTGAATGAAAATAGTAAATTATTATTGGCCGTATGAATTGATCACTAGGCCATTTTTTTTGTCATCGAATTTTGTTTAACTTGGACTGAAGTATGATCGTTACAACACAAAAGTCGACTAGAGTCACAACTTTTCCAAAGACCATAGCTGGTGAGTTCATGGATCGAACATCTCAGAGACCCAAATTAAAACCATAAACATGACAATTACTCTAGAGACTACCACAAACAAAGGAAAATGACTTGAAATACTAAAGGATCAAGACCGAACTCCATAACAACACCAAGTCGCCAATCATAACTAAGAACCTGATGACGCACGAGCTGAACTCAGAAATAGAGACTTGAGAAGACCACAATCCAACAGGTCACAACCACAACCACAACCTCACGAGAAGAAACACCGGCGGAAACATTCAAAGACCAAGGCGCAAACGGAGCCAATAACAACTACTACCACGTCTGCAATAAGACCACAAACAACCCGAAAAAGGAAAGGCACAAGGTCGAACCTTGAAACTCCAAGCAGGGATAACGTCTAAAAGGATCACCAGCTCTTGCATGCGGACCCTCGTGTACCTAAACTCAACCATCTACAAAGCAAGAGAGTGGTCACGCCCTCGCAATAGAAGATTTGAAGATCGAACCCATTGCTTCGTCTTGATACCTCACACCATGCAGTAGAAGCAAGTAGATGCCTACACAACAGATTACCATCTAAGAGACGAATCCAACAAAAGAGACCTTGACAAACCCAGATTACCAATGGCTCAGGAGAACGAGGAGAAGCTAGAGCACCCCTGCTTAAAAGCTACGACTAAGGAAGGAAGAGCGGTTTAAAGATACCAAATCCGGAACATATAACCTCCCCATATCCTAACCCATTAAGATGGAATTTCACACACCACTAAACTTCAAAGGAAGACAAGCCACATCCCAAACCATACTAGACGACTAACTATCAATAACCCAAAGCTAATAGCGCCACTAAGGAGAACAACTAGAACTAAGAGTCACGACCACAACATAAGAACATGCCAGAAGAATAGTTAGACAGATCTGAAAAATTCCGGATCTAGAGCTAACGAAAAAAACATGAAGCAAACATACCATAAGATCTGAAGACCCACAACCCCTGATCTAAAAGTCACTCTCCGCACTCCTGGTCACCTTAACGCCGGAATCGTAGCCCTTCTAGGACGGCCAAAAACTACAGACAAGACACAAGAAGGAAAAGACAGATCTAAAGAAACTTTAAAAATGCAAGAGACTCGACTCCAGTGCTATAGAAGCTACCGGAGTCGAGAAGCAGCAGCCACAGACGGAGGACTAGGTGTTAAGGCGAACTCAAGGCGAGAGAGGAGAGAGTTTTGTTTTGGTAGACCATTATTATTGGTAAAATCTAAATTTTTTAAAGCAGACGATGAGTCAGCATCCACGTAAGCAGTGAATTTTGAATTGATGCTGAATCAGCAACCACATTAGCAACAAAAATGTACTTTTGGTTCAGATCATCGTTATCGGTTTGATTGACCCGCCAAAACAGATGGCAATGGTCGAATCGGAGAGAATGAATCACATGTGTCTCAGAGTCTAACTAGCCGGACGGTATGGGAGTATCTCCAGCTCACCGAGAAGTACTTAAAGGGTTTCAGCCAGTGCCACTTCTAAGCATGTGCGGACAGTGCAAATGCACATGGTCCAAAAATTTTGCTTAATTTTTCATACAAAAGAAGGGCCCAACATTTTTTAATGTAATATAACACCTGATGAAAAAACAGTTTGAAGCAAAATAATTAGGTTTCGTCTTTTTGATGAAGAAGAACACGTGATGATCGAAATGCACGTGAGACTTTAAAGGGTCCATATTTACACATGATTTAAAATGGACCTGAATTTTTAGGACCATTTTTTCATTATAGCAAAGGGTGTATCATAAGTTTGAGCCGGGCCTGGTTTCAGCTGCCTCATTCTGTCTGCAGTTTCTCCGATGCTTTTGAAGGGTTGTAAACGGGTCAGTTCACGTTTTTTGTTTCCTCCCTTTAATAATTTAAGTTATATTGCATCTCTTGTTTGCTAAAGATATGTATATTTCTGACGTTTTTGGGATGTTCTTGTGATGTTTGAGTAATGAAAAGGCTAAGGATTTATATGATTCTATTTTGGGAACACTACAAGAAAACTCGTCCATTACTAGGACGAGTTTTCGTGGTCATTTCCTAGTAAATGACCATTTACTAGGAACTTACGAGGAAACACGTTTCGTCGAAACACGTTCATCGTAAACTCTTTTTCCTCGTAAGGTCCTAACTAATTTACGAGGAAACTTTTCCTCGTAAACGCGTGGTTATCTTTTCCTCGTAAGGTCCTCGTAAGGTTTCCTCGTAAGGTTTCCTCGTAATGTCATAGTAAATGATTTCCTCGTAAGCTCTTAGTAATACATTACGAGGAACTTACTAGAATAATTTACGAGGACATTACTTCGAAACCTTTAAGAGGATTTTGCTTCGAAATATTTGTTCCCTATTAAAATAATATTAATTATAAATATAAATAATATATATTTTTTAAAAAAAATCAAATTATAAAAAAAAATAAAAAACAAAATATTTTATAAATAACTAAATAATATACAATTAAGTTTTAAAATTCATAATATAAAATTAAAAATAAAAAAACTACGGATGGTACTCGTGAAATTGCTGAACGAAATAGTTCTGACTCGCCAAATCCTCCTCCTCTTCAAAGTTGGTTGCCGGCTGTGACTGTGATGGTGGAGGATGTTGGGTTGGAAGCCCTCCGCGTTCCCGTCTCTGACGCAACATCTCCTCCAATTGCGGGTTTCCAACCGCCAAAATGTCGAGGACATCGGTGAGAGAAGTCACATGCTCGGTGAGCGAACTCACATGAGACTGCATCGCCTGCAACTCCAAGCGCAGCTGAGCATTGACATCGTGCTGCTTCTGAGCATAAGACGATGTCGCTGTGGGGACATCGTTAACCGAGCCAATCCCGATGATACGCTCCTTTTTCTTAGGGACGACCTGTAAATAAAAATATTAATAACGTTAAGAAAATATTTAAATAAATAAGAAAAATTAATAGTAAAACAAATTATTTACCTCCTCGTAAATCTTATCCACTTCAAGAGTGGATAATATAACTGGAGTCTCAGTCCGCTGAGTCAGCTGGGTCTAGCGTTCGTCAACTCGAGCAACAACCTCGTTGTAGATCCGCTCGGAAGCAGGATCTACAAATTGCCCAGCCTTGTTCAGGTGGGTCCTCTCGTTAAGGTCTTTCAGAGATGTAAGAACTTTTGTCTCTTTAGCGTAAAAATAATTTTTAAAATTAAATATTAATTTGGAATATTCAAATAGAGTAAAAATTAAATAGTTATTAAAAATCATCTTACCATGTCTAGACGAACTCCCCCGTGAGGTTTTCAACGATATTTTTACTGTAACCAGAAAAAAATAAGAGACGGATTAGTTCAATAATATTAACACCTTTAAATAATTAAAAATAAATTAAGTTGCTTAATTAAACTTACAACGAACAATTTGAACCACGTCTTTTTTGTGTGGCTCGCCGTCTTCTTCCAGTTTGGAGCTGCATCGGGAAAGTATCCCTTGATACAGTCCGTGACGCTAGTTGCGACACATCCGTCAAGACCAAACCTGGAAAAACACAAAATAAATCATTAATTAGATTAATTTGTAAATATTTTGTTAATTAAGAAATAAATTAAAAAACACTTTTTAGAAATTAAAACATACCATAATATGTTGTGGCCGTCCCGTCGGATATGATCTAACTCTGGCAACCCTTCTCTGCTTGGAAGGGCCAAAATATCCTCCACCGTGTACACCGCAAAAAGTGCGTTCGGCGGCACCTGCAAATCGGGATGAACCCCGACCGGTGGAGGAGGTGGAGGTGGAGGAGGAGGTAGTTGCTCAAACCAGGACGCTGTAGAAGCTCCCTGAGTCTCGGGAACAGCGTCAGGATCTGGAATCGAAGATGAACCGGGAGCTAACGAAGATGAACCGGAACCAGACTGACGCCCGAAAAGATCTCCGTAGTGACTCCCCTGAAAAGGCCTCTTACTAGCCTTAGCAATCTTGCTTTGTCTGACCATCTAAATTTT